CTCGGCCATTCGAGCCTCAAATGTTTCGAAGTGTGGACCATAGGTGTCATATTTCGGGGAAAACACACAATTATTCCGTGTCCACCTTCGAATGCTTCTACAGTTCTGAGCTTTGTTTTTTATAACCAGCTGGGAAATAGAAAAGGAGAAAACAGTGAGGACTGACTTACTCGTTGTGGCCTTCATACTGTCAGATGAATAGTTAGCTCTGCATCAAGTGTTTCTTTAGGTGTGGCTTTTGGTTTATTCACTGCTTCTGTCGATCCATCTTTGAGCATGGTGGGCGGTGATCCAACAAAACAGGTATGTTCTGATTTCCTTTAACAAGTCTAAGTCGAATCCCAATATGTTCAGCATAAAGCTGCTGACCCATTTAGCGTTCGCTATAGAATTTGAGCACGATTCTATAAGTGTCAAATGGCCTGTCTGTGCAGAAATAAGCAAAGGAACTCATCGGAAATCGTAGTACCATTCCCACAGACTTCTTGAGGCGGGGGCAATTAGTGGCAAACGGCACGCGGTCCGGAAGTCAAATCCCGGATCGGCTTTCGCCCAGACTAGCCAAACTGACTTTTCCGGGTCGGTAAACTGGTAACCTAGGATTGAGGACTTGCAACCCCTTTTCGCTTTTTTTGAAACACGATTTTCGGGATTTTTTCCGGAAGTCTTTCTCGTCTATTTTCAAGTCGAGATGATAACTTTATGCAATGAAAAAGCAATGAAACTGAGCTCATCCAAACTCTGAAGAAGCGGAGCTTCAGCTAAGGTCATGCAGTTTCGAATGTAATTTTGTTTCAGCTCACTTTGAAGGAGACATGGAAGGAGATGAGCAGCAGAATGAAGTCGTATGGAAGGAATTTCGGGTCAATTGGGTTCATGTTTTCTGGTACTATATTATTCAACAGTTCTTGTTGCACACATCATTGGAAGTTGATTAAGCCAATCTATTGAAGGTACTGAGTGTCTTTTGGAGAGTGTGCGGGCGAAGAGTGACTGGAGAAACGGAACATATTCTGGAGGTAATGTTTTTCTTTAGTTCAGTTGTAGCCGAATGTTTTACCATAGTTGGGGAGGGTCCAAGCTGCGCCCATTCTGAATATGCTGCACCCTTCGCTTCTGGTTGAAGTTGCCGTGCACTATCTCGGAGAGGCGGAGATAGGGCAGGTGAACAAAAACGGTTGTTTTCTGGTCTTGATTGTGACTTTCTTCTCTCCGCTAGACCAACCGCATAAAATGGAACCAAAATTCTGAAAGGTCTGGTCAAGCTGATGTTGCGACAGCCAAGCGCATCGAGGGCTTCTGGGCTTTTTTGTGTCTGTGGCGTCGAGCAGAGTATGCTCAAGAAAGTGTTCGTAATATGTTTTTTCTTGCATGTAGCGTTTTGAGCCGCTAGGAAGAAATAGCATCGACCCAAGTACAGTACATGACGCTACCAGGGGTTTGAAACACGTCAGCGCTTTCAGCGATAATTGATACCTGTAGCTTTTCTAAGTTGCTTTAAACGCTCAAACGCTGAAACGATGCAAAGTATGATCGAGTTCTTAATGGAGTCACACTTGGCGGCGGCGCCTGGCTCAGGCCCCGCTGGTAAAATAGTACGCAATACATCATACCTCCCGATGAAGCGCCCCTCACCCCTTAACTAAATCAGGACAGGCTATCGTTTCAATTAAAGTTTGCCCAAGTTATCGCCCGATTTATTGAATGTTCAGCCATGTCGGGCATACTGGCCTCCCGAGCCGGCGTGAAGCCGGCTCTTTGGGGAGCAGCCGGCTTTGCAGCATTTTCGACGCTCATCGATCACTGGATGAGAGGATGAAGAGTTTTTTCTCGTTATTTCCTAATTTTTACTATACAATGTACAGTAGGACACTGAACTGGTTTCTGTTGGATTATGCAATGTCTGTTGTTTTGTTGATTCTTCTAGTATACGGGTAAATAGTGGAGAACCGAGTCTTGTTGTCATAAAAAACAACCCTTCTAGAGTAGATTGACTGATTTTGTACATGACGCGCATCAGTAAAATTTGCGTCCCACAGGGTGCCGAGGTCAGTGCTCAAAACATCGGCTTTGCTTCGCAGGAGTAGGAAACAAAGCACACCTCCGTTTGAGCTTTCTCACCGAGGGGGGGGGAGAGGAGGATATGTTTGACCTCTGGCGATAATCCGTTCTTCAGCAAGGCGAGCGAGCAAGGTCAATCGCTGGAGAAGGCATATTTTGCCACGACTTGAAAGCAACGCTCCACACCACGACTTGATACTTTCTTCAGGATGGTTCCATCCAACCACTGGTACATAAAAGTGACTGGAAAAATAGCAGAGAAACCGATTAATTCTGCAGAACTTTGAAAAGTCAGTACGTGCCAATTACTGGGAAACTGCTTTGACTGTGCAGTTGCAGCCACCGACTAGAACCCTACACGATGCGCAAAACGTTATCGTATAGCTCGTATCTGTCGTTTTCCACCAGTTGTTGTCGTTAGCTCGCTTCAACCGCTGGTGAAGAACGGCTTTAGTGCCACGTGACACCGATCCCGCTTGAACCGCCCCTTCAACTAGCGAACAAGACAGTATGAGTTCCTTGTTTATCCAGTAGAGACAGAACTGCCTCATTTGTTAGTCGTTCATATTATTCATCTTGACCTAGAATTCAATACTATGGGCGTTGCCGCGGCCTTTGTTGGGCCAAGATGTTCGGCCTTGTAACATCATTCGTCTGGGCGGTCGAGACTACTTCGGCCTTGGAGTTGTCAAGGTTCCATCGTTTATAAAGGAACAATTTACTGGCCTCACCACTTCCACTCAATGATTCGTGTCGTACCACTACTGCTTACAGCTTTAATACTTCCGAATGAGTCAAGGTTAGTTGAGCAGAGGTATCTTGCGGTGCTTTCGATCTATTCGTCTTTCAAATATATTTCTATTAGGGCGCACTATTTTAGTTTCAGAAGGGGGTAGCGGGGTCAAATCCGGTATTGGCTTGCAAGCTGACCAACCAAAGCTTTCGTACCCTAGGGCTGGTAATTAGCTACCAGACTTGCTCTATAAGACAAAAACTCAATTGTACAATCATCGTTCCTGCAAACGAGAGTTCGTGAGAAAGGTTGCGGATGGCCAGGGTAGCCTTCTCTACCAATTGTTGCGTCCGGATGCTACCGGTAGTGTATTTAGAATACTACTAAGCTTCTGGAATGAGTTGAATGCGTGGCGCATTCCAAGGGGATGATTGACTGACACTGGAAGATACATGCTCATAACCCAAATGAACGAGTTCCTGGTACTTGTGGCTTGGTTCGAGATGTCTTAACTGGTGGGATGAGAAAAGCTGTCACATAATAGAATCGCGGGTTTTTAGAAACATGCGTGCTTGTTGAGGAATCGGTACCTAACATGCCTAAACATTAGGCTATGGCTATTGCCTTATCGGAAATAACAGGTTCTCTATACAAAACCTTGAGAAAAAACTCCAATCTGTTTTATTCACAGCAACGCACGTTGGCAACTTGCGAACATTGGCCGCATGGGCATTTGGGCACTATTGAGAAAATTAGTATTGCAATCAGCGCTTTTCTTTGAATCTTGACACGGCTTTTTGTGTTCATACTGTATGAAAAGAGTTTCTATCGATGTCATTTCGGAGTCAGGTCCTTCCACTTCTCACTTCAATTCACTGAGATTCTGTAAAAAAAGGTGTGAGGAAAATGTCTAAAGAGGAGGTATCTCATTCAAGACGTTGATTACCTTGTGATATGGACAAAAATCACGTTTATTTGGAAATGAGGCGAAGTTGCATGACCTTGTTAACCTCCTGGGATACAATGTAACGAACAGCATCTTACCGAAAGAGTTTACGTATTGACAACAGTGCGTCGCGATGGCAAGGATTTCGTAGGTTGTGGTAACTCCATGTCCCGAAAATTTGGATGGCTAGGCTGTGTACTTCATTTGAAAGTAGCGGGAGCTTAGACTGTTGTGGGTTTTCGCAATTTCGTGGTGATTGTATGTCTTTGTTCAGCAGAAGGCCACATGACAGCTGTTTCGAATAGAATTATGCCCCGAATAAGGCAGCCACACGGCGCTCCAGTAAAGTATTAGGTTGTCCGGAAAGTTCTCAGCGTTTTGTGCACCTATTTTTTGTACATTCACTGCTGAAATTAGTGGTT